AATGGTAATTGTTTACCCCTAATAAGTTTTTGCAAACACACTCACTTTTGGTCCCTAATATAACAGAACTGTTAGTAAGCCCAACGAGATGCCTAGGATGTTGACATGTTGATTTAATATTAGTTTGTATTATTAATTTATATGCTTACTTGATAAAAATATTTATTTTTTTATAATAATTCAATAAGTGATATGGGGCAAAAGAAATTATAAGAAATTTCTCTCTCCCACTCCCATGGCAAAAAGAAACGATACTACTTTTTCTTCACACAGCCAACAATCATGGTGGTCTTGGTGGAGGGCGCATCACACGAATAATGTTAACCCTCGAGACTTCGAAACGAAATAAAAATTTAACTCAAGATTCAGGGATTAAAAAATATTAATTTTTCCTAATTTCTTAAAATTATAGTATATTATTCTCCACTATTTGTTAGATAGCCATAAATGAATTAAATTTACCCAAAGCTTTCAAGTTGAGTCGTGGTTTATTCATCTTTAAAATAATATGAGTGGGAAGGAATTAAATTTACTCAATTCAGGGTTTATTCGACCTTAAGTCTATGTAAGATTATTTTATTTTTAAGTCACTCTCTTCGTACAAGCCGCTAGAGAAGTAACCCATGTGACAATATGTAAAAATATGTTTTTCCCTTATGTTGGCAAAGTAAAATATTTTTTTAATACAATTACATGGGAGAACAAACGTTTGAACACATGATTTTTTAGTCTGCAATTACCACTAAACAAGAAATTAAAAGAACAACTCTTACCACATAAACAAGAAGATAATATATATCGAAAATGGAGGCTATGTAAAACGTGCTCTAATAATGTAGTTTTTCATCAAATATAATAATAAAAAATAATAATAGTAACACTAGCATCATTAAAAGTTTTGAAGACTCCTTTGAAAAAAATAAAAATTCATTTTTCTATAAATGAATTAAATTTACGTAGTCCATCCCATTAAACTTTAGTTGAGTGTGTTTATTCATCACTTATTTATTAAAAATTTAATGACAGTAAAAACAAGAAAAGAGAAAAAAAGTGTTAACTAAAAAGATGTTATTAAATCATTGCCAGTTGAAGAATGAAATTTTTGAACCACACGTCATCAAGAGTTCACATTAAAAAAGTTTTTGTTGCTCTGCCTTATATTCTTTTTGTCTATTATCTCTAATTTGTCAAATCCTTTTCTAAAAAAGAACAAAAAACCGACCAATTTTATCGATGTTCATTTAATTCATAGAAAACAAAAAAGAAAAGTTATTGATAAATTTTCTATTTGTACGTCAATATTATTTTTTCAACCGATAATTAAATATTTGTCAATAAAAGTCATACTTAAAGGACAACTTTAAAATTATACTTTTCGTTATTTTAGTTCGGGTAGAGATTGATTTTTTAATGTTTTATCTTCCAAATTAATTTTGGGATTATGATATGGAAAAATTACTATTTCCCAACTAATTTTAAGTAACTAATTTATCCCATCATGTTATCAAAGAGAAAAATCCATCCAATAATTTATAAGCAAAAGACGCTGTATATGAATTTAAAATGGTACTATAATTTATGGGTTAAAAATAAGTTTTTATTTGAAAAAAAAAAGTCTCCCCAACTAGGGTAGGTGAAGAACTTCAACCGATTAAATTAATGATAAATTTTTTGTTAAATTATAATTTAGTTTCTATTATTTGAGCCAATTTTATCTCTAGAGTTCCAAAAGTTTCAATTCGAGATCTATAGTATAGTCAAACTTTACCAATCGTCTATATTGTTAATAATAGTGATAATTCTTTGTTACCTAGAGTGTTGTGTTAGTTGACTTTTTAATTTTAATCAAACTATTGAAACTAAATTCAAACTAAACCTAAATTGTAATCGTAGAACCAAATTAGAGCTAAATTCAAACCATAAAAACTAAACTGAAAACTTTAAAATGGTAAAGATTAAATTCAAACTTAAACTAAATCATACCGACAAATCTATAAGTTAACAAAATTTTTGAATGTTTAATATCAAATTGTAATTTCAAACGTTTTTCTTGTTATAAAATCCGTTAAAAGTAACTAAGTAGTATTTGGTTTGTCATCATTTTCATGTTTTGAAACAATGAATACTATGAAAAATAACATAAACGTGTTTCTTAGTGCAACAATTGGGTGTTTAATGAGGGGTGGACATCCACTCATATTGTTCATAATTGTCCCTCTTGTTTTAATGGTTCTTTATACTCATTAAAAAAAAAAGTATAAATATTACTTTGATTCCTGTACTTTTCATTTTAGATAATTTTTGTTCACGTACTAGAACGTACACTTTAATCTTTGTACTTTCAATGTTCCATTGTATTTTTGAAATATCTGTTTTGATTAATGTATTTTTAAAGTGACTATTTTTATCTATTTATTTCTATTTTTATTCTATTTCTTTAGATCGCAAGTTCATTAAATTTCTTGAAATATAGTCATAAATTTATATTAAAGAGTTTTCATTGTAGGTACAATTTTGATTAAAAATTTGGAAATAGAAATCAAAATGGTTTCTTTTGGAAAAGCAAAGAACAAAAATGGAAGTTTTAAAAGTACAAGAACTAACGTGAACAAAAGTTGAAATTAAAGTAGATGACGAAAATAGACATTTTAAAAGTAGCTATAATATTTTTGTTTTTGAAGGCTATAATATTTTTGGTTGGTTGGTTGTTAAATTGAAAATATTCCACTTTATGTTTTTTATTTTATAATTGTTGAAGGGCAAGTGACGCTATGCAACTGTTGTCCAGTCGTATCTCATATAATGGCATTTAGCGTCAAAAGATGGCAAAATTTTTACGGATTCGTGGTGGTGATGCCCCTAAATCGGATTGTTTGGTTCCCAGTGCAGTGGACACTGCACATCGAATGGGGATATACCTAACCCCGTCAAGGACATCCCAGTTTTGCGGATAGCGCGCCTACCATCCTTTTCACGTGGCCATCCTACGACACCGTCCTACCAATACCATTCCATTCCGACGCCCTAAATATTAATTTCTATCCTTAAATTTAATTTTTATTTTAAGGTTACAAAATTAGGATTTTTTTTAATAATATTTTTATTTAAACTTATTTTTAAAATAATGTTACATTCAATAAAATTAAAGAAAAAAATTTTCTTTTGAAATTTATTCCAAAAATAATGTTTTTATCGTTTCTTCAAAAGACGACCATGTCATTTTTAAAGAGACAACTAGCCTCACGTCCTTATGGTCTCATAGACGACTAACTGTTAAAAAAGGTAGTGTCGTCTCTAGCATTATTTTTTAAATAAATTAAAAAAAAGTATTTTTTCTTTAATTTTATTTAATGTAGCATTAAAAAAATCCTACAAAATTACCCTTGGTCACTTTTTTTTTCTCTTTTAATGTTGGATTAACCTTTAGTTCATCAATTTTATTATTTAATAATTTGGTCTTGTATTTTTAAATTTATAATACTTTAGTTCCTACTTTTGAAAAATTATGTCAAAAGAAAAAATATCGATTTTTAATTATATTAAGGATTCTATTTTTGTAGTTTATAAACACACATTTGGTTCTTCAGTGATTGTGATTTATCGATTTGGTTCATTATTACTCCATAATAAAATTTTACCTGACAAGAACTGAACCGTTGACATCTTCTTCTTAACATATGGTTGGATTGGACTACACATCACAATTGGAGAGAGAGTTGGGAGATTGACACAACTGTCACAATTTTACGTTTTACTAGTTAAATTATAAATTTAGTTTTAGAACTTAGAAGGTTAGATTATTTAAGTTTTTAAGTTTTAAAAAGTGTTTAAATTAGTCCTTTAAGTTTTTAATGGTATGTCTAATAAGTTATTAAACTTAAAAAAGGTCTAATATATCTCTAAAGTTTCAATTTTGCTTCTAATAGATTCTTGAGCTTTGAGAGACATCAACAATCTATTATATACAAAATTGAGAGTTTAGAGATCGCAGCAGTATGCTGTGTGTCATGAGAGGCTAATGAGGGATCTGACCTAACAGACCCCGAAGTATGAATACCTACTTATGGCTTCATTTTAAGGATCGACTTATCAATGAAATAAACATGGGACAACTGAAGTGGGGAAAAACTGCGCAACCACCCACTCACAATTGTTGCTAGATTCCTGCCATCCATTGCAGGATGTGCTACGTGGTACCACCCACTCACCACTATTGCTAGATCCTCGCCATCCATTGTAGGACGTGCGACGTGGTTGAAGAATAATTACAACTGAAGTGGGGAAAAACTGCACAACCACGCACTCACCATTGTTGCTAGATTCCTGCCATCCATTGCAGGACGTGCGACGAGGTACCACCCACCTCACGGCCAATATTGCTAGATTCCCGCCATCCATCGCAGGACGTGCGACGTGGTACCACCCACTCACCACTATTGTTAGATTCCCGCCATCCATTGCAGAATGTGCGATGTGGTTGAATAATAGTTTCAACTGTTGTTCACCTATAAATATCAGAGGTAATTCTATCCTTCAAGTATGCGAGAATCTAGTTAATTAGTAATATTATCCAAAATAGATGAGCCTGAGACTAACTTAAACATTGAAGTGTTCACTGTTTCTTTTTTTTTTAAGCCCCATTTCCATTCATCCTTTGAGAATCTCCCTGATCAATGGAAACAATAATAGTTCAACTTTATATATTTTCTACATGTTATTTTGATGTTTAGCAAAATTTAGTTTTTATTATGTTTTTAGTATTTCTTTTATGCTCACAAAGCAAGTTAATATCTTAATCTCCATTATCTCAGTCCATTATTTCATTACATATTTAATTATTTGTAATTTAATTTATAAACCATTGTTTAACCATGGAAGAAAGGTTCAACAACAGAAGTAAAATAAAGTGGGTCATTGCATCACCAACGAAGTTCGAATATATATTAATATTTTCTCGTACAAAAAAAAAAGTAAAAATATAGAATTTTTATTATCATTTGAGGACCAAAAATGAGATGTTACAAAATACAAGATAAATAAATGAAGGAAATAATTTAATTATCAATTTCAATTGGGTGTGTGTGTTGGGTTTGGGTCGTAGAGGTCGACTTGTCGTCCATTACGTGGTTGGATTGGTCTTGCATTCTTCTCTGCAGACTGCAATTCACATTAAAAAAAGAAAAAAAAAAGTAATAATAAGAAAAATAATAAAACTCGACCTGTCGTTTTAATTAAAATTGGAAATAGAAACATTCTATAGAACTTACATCGTGAACAGCCGATCTCAGTAGCTTCACCTGTTCCCGTGAGACTGTTCCTATCTGATATCAAACCATACAAATAAATAAATAATATAAAATTAAATACGTCTCACCCAATTCAGCTATGCTCAAATATATTATTACTTTTATTATAAGATATTAATATTTATATGATTTCCTATCAAAATCAATCAACAATGAAAGTCGGAGTATAACCGATGTATATTATAAACTTTTGTTATGTTCTTTATCTCTCCAACGTAAGATTCTTTCATTTTTCAACGGAATGCTCATTTGAGTTTGTTGCGCTCTGATACCATATTAGTAACAATGAATAAACCACCACTCAACCTTAAACTGATGGGTTTAAATGAGGAGGAAACAACAATGCAGAGATTCAAACACAGGATCTCCTACTCCGATACCATGTTAAGATTTTGGGTTGAGTGGTGATTTATTCATTTTAATATCCGGAAGGTCATATGTTGGTTTCCTCCCAATTTATAGTAATTTTCACTTGTTGGGCCTTGTGCAATTATCCAAGTCCACAAGTAAGGAAGAGCGTTGAAAATCTAAAATTAAATTTATCCAACCTATCAACTTAAGTTTTTAGGTTGAGTTGTGGTTTATTCTTCCTTAACGCATATCAATATTCATGGAGACTTCATCTCATATTATAAACATTTGTCAAATCTCTTATTTTTTATTTTTTCACTGTGAGATGCTTAACCTAAGGAAATATCTAAACTAATTTAATCTAAAGCACAAACCTCGACATGGGAGACTTTGGTACGTAGCATGTTTGAATAAATTATAAAATTAGTTTAATCTCAGGAAAATAATAATTGCATTTTAATTTATTTTCTCATGTTGATTTAATTTCAAGGGAGAAATTAAGGAAGTAGTAGAAGCATACCTTTTGGTTAATGTTCCAAATGACACCTTCAGTGCAAGGAGGAACAGTGAGAGAGCCCATGTATCTATAATACTTGATGCTACCCATTTTTATCATTCTAGGATCTATTCTTCCCAATTTTTTCTCCTTTTCTTCACCCAATGCCTTTATTTTCCTACTCAGCTGCCACATTTTAATAGTTTGTTAGCCTTGATGTGTCATATATTAGATTGAGAAAAATTAATCAATTAAGATCGATAAATTTTATCCATGTTGAAATTTACCTTGGAGAGAAAAGGGTCGGGACGACCCATCTTGTAGAAGATGCCAACAACGGCGATGGGATATTTGACATCTGTATGTGAACTTTGGTGAACTAAATGAAGCTCTAAATCGTACCTAAATCAACGAAAAATAATCCTTGTTATTAGTTTGAAAGTGATCATAATATAACTTCAAGTCTCATTCACTAATGATTCTGTTTTTCATGAGTAGATTTGTCAGATGAAAAATTTGTCAATTACAAGTATAAAAATTAAAAATATTCAAAAGGAAGTTAGAGAGAAGAGATTGAACCTCCTCCCGTTAAGAGTATGTTCAGAAGGAGAGTGCCAATGGATTTGTTGAAGAAGATAATTTGTGTCATTAATCTTGATTGATCCTGCATTTCCCTCCCACTTAATCTGTCCAACCATAGAATTTTAAGACGATAAATACCATAGCAGCAGAGCAGGTATTTTCTCTTATAATAATTTAATTTAAAGTATATATTCATTTGAACCTATTCTTTCCTTTTGAGCTTGGTCAAGTAAGAAATTAATTTTTTTCTATTTTGTCATATAAATTATATATTTTATCTAAAATGCTCACATGAGTATATAACTCAACTATCTAACTTACCTAACTTTTCATAACTTTTCACCATAGTAGAGATAGTGACGATTATGATGGACTCCAACACTACCAATTTTGTTAAATTTTCAGGTGTTTAAATATTATTTTGATCCTCATACACACTCACTACTTTACTTCATTTTGGTTCTTAAATTTTCGAAAGGATGTCTTTTTCTTTTTTTCTTTGTCACTATCCTTTAAAATCTTGTTGAGTTTATTCACTAATTTCAAAACTTTCATTTTGGTCTATACACCATTAAAAAGTCACAATTTTGATACATTCTTTCTCTTTCTAGAATTTTAGCATATGACACTGATCACTCATTAAATTTCTTGAAATATAGTTATAAATTTTGTATTAAAGAATTTATCCATGGTGTATAAAGTTTGTGTTAAAACTTTATAAATAGAGATTAAAATGACGAATTTTAAAAATTAAAAAGTCCAAAACGTTTTGAAAATATAGAGAATTAAAATGAATAAATGTTAACGTCATTTTAAAAATTAAAAAGTCCAAAACGTTTTGAAAATATAGAGAATTAAAATGAATAAATGTTAGAATCAAGATGGACACTTTGAAAGTAAATTAACTCATTAAAATAGAACAAAAGTGAGAGTACAAGCAACCAAATAACTACCAATGTTTGAATAATTAAAGCAAAATTTTGTATAATGTGTTACCGAAATATCATGGCCACGATTCTTGAGAATAGCATTGGAGGGTTTGTATTTGTTGTTGAGGTGACCCAAAGTTTTGATAGCTTTGACTCTTGTGGAGGACAAATCAATGGGAGATTGCATTTCGCCATTTTTGCACCTCTCCCATTCTCTCTTGATCTCTCCCCATTTTGAAGGCCCTTTCTTGCTTCCTCTTATGTAATCAAACTCACTTTCGTCCTCTGCAAAACCCCCCATCCATCATCAACAACACAGCACAAAAATTCACATCCAAAAACATACAAACACGACATCGGCTCAAGAAAGAAACATTATCTATCTATCACTTCGAGGGTCGTTTCATAACGCTTGTATTTTTCATTTTTTCCTTCTTTTGAATAAAGTCAATATACAATCATTTCGGATAACTGTTTATTGTTTACCATTCTCCTCCCTTTTAAATTAAAAAATAATAATAAATCATAATTTGAGTAAGAATGAGTAAACGAGAAACGAGAACGTTAAACTTACCAACTTCTTGTGCAATGACTAATGGGCAGAACAAGATAGAGACTAGAAAGAGAAAAACAGAAACTCTCCAATTCAACGTCGCCATTGTTGGGGAAGTAAAAGGAATTTAATTTGCGGAGAGAAGATCAGAGCTCGGTTTGAGAATACGGCAAGGAGCATGTAGAGTAGAGGGATTTATAGAAAATTTGCAGAAAAGTTGAGTTTCGTGTGAGTTTCTTTAAGGTTAACAAGGCGGCCAACAAGGAGACCCAAACAATTGTTTAATTAAGGATACATGGTCCAAGGAGATGGGTTTGAAATTTTAAAATCTATTATTTCATTATCATATTACTAACAATTTTGTTTTTGTAAGAATAGTTTCTATGATGTCCATTTCTGTATTTCGTGTGTTTTTTTTCCTTAATTTCGGCTAAATTAACAAAAGAAGGAATATTTTTCATGAATATATATATATATATATATTGTTTTGAATTTGCTTTTGAAGTTTGCTAGAATTTCAAGAAGAAGAAGTAGGTATAATTATTAAAAGATTATTTTGGAACCTAACACTACAAAATGAACAATACTTAATTAGGTACATCATTAATATTTAATTAATTGAATTTGTTTTGAACACATCATCCTATGAGTACTTTTTTGAATAACAAATATAAGAAAATAGGGCTGCTTAGTTTGATGTAACAGCTACAATTCTAATATAGATTTGAACAGGAGTGATTTAATGGAAACTAGTTTTTTCTTTTTGTAATTTATGTTTATAAATTATTTTATTTAAGAATAACCTTTTGGTAAGTTGTAGAAAGTAAAATAATTTTAATTATTCTAAAGAAATATATTCATGAAAACAAAGTATGTCAAAACAAAGGTATGGCACTTTTAGATTTTTTTTTTCTTTTTTTTTTTTTAAAATTGTGGAAAAGGAAAAGAAGAACATATGATTAATTAACAGAAGAAGACATAATAAGGAGGCTTTTGGTTTGGTTTGGTTTGGTTTAGGTGGAACAGATAGGATGAGATTTGTATTTAAAAATTAAATAAATATAGCTTAACAATTTTGACTCTCTCTCCTAATATTTTCTTTTTCAAGGTTAAAAGAATCTGACTTGGGAGTCAAGTTTAATTAAAAATTAATTTTTATTCAAATGAAACCAACCTCTAGAAAGTCTGGAATTGATAAAAGTTTAATCTAATTTTCAGTTACATCATTTATGAACTCATAAAAATGTATGACACACTTCTGTTACACTTTTACAAATATATTGTATAATAATGTATGGTTTTTCTAAGATATACAGAGCTAAGGGTAGGTTTCTACTTTTCAATTTTTTAAAATTTGAAAGTGTTTTGTAGGCATAAATGTAATATTACCATTTTTTAAAATTTTTATGTAAAATTCAAATTAAATAAATGTAAACGAATTTAAAATTACAATAATCAAATAAATAAATATGAAAGTTTTCAACATTGAAAATGTGAAGATAATCAATGAGAAAAGAACCATTTCTTTTATTATAAGATAACAAATAGAACTATACATGATAGAGAAATTTATTTGATGTAATTAGTGAAATTATTTCATTTTTCCAAGCCATATTGATAATAATGTGAAATTTCTATACTTTGGTAGAGTTTTGGCCCGAGGCGAATATTATTATTATTTGAAATAAACCAATTCCCTGATAAAAATAAAAAATATATATATAAAAAATACGCCTTATTGTTTAGTGTACTCTACGTCTCTGCCAAATCTTATTGTTGGCATGAAAGCCTCCTTGTAGCCCGAGTTCGAAAAATTGAAAATTTTCTTTATACAAATATTTCAAATTTTTTAAAAATAAAAAAATATATTAGTAGTATATTCAAAGTTTAATTTTCTAAAATAATTTTCTTCCCCAACCGTTTTAAATCTAAATGCTTCAACCACCTCTTTACAGATTTGAACCTAAAAGAAAATTCTTCTCAATTTTTCTTTTTCATTTGAAGTAATTAATTTAGACTTCTCTGTCATTGTAGGTCGTATTTAAAAAAAAAAAAAAATTAAACCTATCTCTAAAATATCTATACGTCTGAAAATAATTATTTTTTAAAATTTTATTCTCTTTCTTCTAAACCTATATAGAAAAAAGAATCTAATAAATCTTCAAACATTCAATTTTAAATGTATTAGGTGTCCAAATTTTAAATTTTTTTAATATATCCCTAACTTATTAAACTATTTTTTAAAATTCTAGATCTAATAAATAGGAAATTTTATAAATTCAGACATCTATGTGACACTTTTCAAAGTTCAAGAAACTTATCAAACATAAATTTTAAAGTTAAAAGATTAATTTGTAATTTACATAACTTAATATCAAAATATATAAACTAGTATATATATAATAATATATAAATGTAATGTAAGCTCTCTCTGATATAAGTTTTTAGATCCGCTGTTGATTTTGGCCTCAGATGATGAGTCGTAAAAGAAAACGCCTCGATGGTTAATCTCTTGCAGTGGCCTTGAATTCATTTTTGCACCCTGCAATTTGATAAAATAATTGAGGTTAAATATATAAATTTAACTTTTTTTAATAGTTGCAATTTTATATCTTTAATACATATATATATATATATATATATATATGAATTTATTTCACTTGTGGTCCAACTTACTTTGTCAACAATCCTTCTGAGAAGGCTTACTTGTGCTGGAGAGACGCTACTGATCTGAAAAAAATTTATGGTATGTGTAAACATATTATTAGTATTTATTTTCATATTATCAATGCGTACAATGTTATTATTTTACATTTCAGAAAAATAAATATTAAAGTAACCTTTGTTTTTAACTTTTTGTTTTTTAAAAGGCTAAAATTTAGATGTTTATTTAGCCTCTAAGTTTTAAAAATTGTTTTAAATGGTTTTAAAAATTAATTTATCCTTAGTCCGCTGACACGAAGATGATGTGATCACTTGTTGATTGGATTGTGATCATGTGGTAAAATATATTATTTTTATATTACATTTGTTTTTATTTACACTGTGGCGTGGCAAATGAAAGGATCAATTTTGAAATTTTGATTAAATAGACACCCAACTCAAATTTTAAACCTTAAGTGGGAATTTTGTCCTTTTAGAAATTATGTTTGTTTTTATATAATTTCGTTAGTAATTTTTCATCTATCTTCAAAATATATTTGAATTTTTAGCCTAAAAACCAAAAACAAGTTTATGAAAATATTACTTTTTTTAGTTTTTAAATTTCACCTAGATTTTGAAAAATACTTTTAAAATATATATATAACTAAATAAATGAACATACATGTGATAATCTGCTTGTAAAATCAAAAACAAAACAAAATAAAATAAAATGATTATCAAACGGGTGCTAAATGTTTTTATCTATAAAAATATGATGGAACCTGCTCCATGACGGTCCAAATAACCGGTTCAGAACATGGAGGAGTCGTGAGCGAGCCGATGTAGGTGTAGTAATTCTTGTTTTGGCCATGATCAGTTTTGTTAATTGCATCTAAAGGGTCTAAACTTCCCACTTCTCTTTCACGATTCCCTTCGTCAAGGAGCTTTAAATTATCCGCTATCTATCATTCATCAATAATCTAATTATATCGAAATCAAAAAAATGAAAAACAAAAATGTTACCAAATGAATTCGAATTTACCTTGGAGATGAAAGGATTAGGTGGGCCGAACCGAAATAAGAGGGCAACAACAGCCATTTTGTTGAGTTTATTAGAAGAATTGGCAACATGCACCATGTGAAGCTCCAAATCAAACCTAAACAAATCAAATTACTTGTAAATTTGATTTTCTTTTCACTAATTAAAATGGTTTCAATTAGGTTAGAAAAGAGAGAGCTCAAGACCTTTCACCATTAATAATATGCTCGGAAGGATGATGCCAATGACATCTTTGAAGAAGGTAATTCGTACCATTAATTTGAATCGATCCCACATTTTTCGTCCATTCGACCTACAAGGCATCCCACCATCATTGCTCGTTAAATCACCACTAAACTTAAAAGTTCATAGACTAAATTTAATTGTTATCCACTTACCGCAATATGATGGCCATTTTTCTTAAGAGTTGCATTGCCAGGCTTGTAGCTTCTATTTAGTTGGCCCAAATCTTTGTTGAGTTTGGCAATTTCTTTGCTCAAAGGTATGGGAGATTGAATGGTGCCATCTTTACATTTGGTCCATTCTTGTTTTAGGTTGCCCCAATGCTCAGGTCCTCGCTTGCTCCCTTCAATATAATCAAACTCCTCCTCTTCTTTGACATGGTAACCTATTAGGCATAATGAGAGATAGAAAATATGTACTTTCTATGGTAACTATTTATAGATTTTTTATTTGCTAAATGTGACGGGGAAGAAGGTCGAGGCAGGGCAATTGCCCACTACTGATTCGTCTTAGTTAAGATTTTTAAGTTTTGATCTCTTGAAAATTTGTGGTGGGCAGCAAAAATCTCTTATATATTTCAAAATATGTCACATGTTTTTTTAATTTTCAAATATAGCAAAACATTTGATTTATATTAGATACTCATATCAGTAGTATATATTAGATATATATCACATACATATTATTACACAGACACTCATATCAGTAGTATGTCAAATGTATATCATATATATACCAGTAGTCAAATATATTACAGATGTATTACAAATATCTATCATTTAGGTAAAGTTGTCATTTTAAAAATTTTTCTTTTTTTTTTCGTTTTTTTTAGTACAACATGTGGGGGTGGGGGATCGAATTCGCAACCTTTTGGTTGGAGATATATATTAATTACAGCTAAGCCGTGCTCGTTGTGACATAAATTTTTCTTCTTGTACGAGATCTCTTGAACAATATATCATACAATTATATATCGAAACAAGCGGAGAAATTTATTTTTTAAGAGCTTAACATCTCTAAAAAAAATTGAGAAATGACTAGAAGATGGCTTACTTTCATCATTGGCTGAAATTGAAGAGGAGAGCAAGCAAAGGATTACAAAGATGAGAAGAGTTGAATGATGATATTGATGTTCTTCTCTTGGGTTTTCCATTATTTCTCAAATATTTGCTTATTCTATAAAGTGAAAAGAAAATGGACAACTTATGTACACAAATTTTTCTTTTCTAAAAATGGAAACTCCACTGGACATTGAAAATCCTATCGCAATGCATTAATATACATTATTCTTCACAAGAATGTTACAGATTGTTTTTCTCAATGAAATTTGATTCATTTTGTAATTTTTGTTTCTTACACTTTTTGAATTTTTATTTTGATTGCCCACTTTCCATTTTGGCTTTAGAATTTTAAAATCTCAATGTAGTCCTTTTAATATTACCAACCTACCATAGACATGTCGTGTCTAAACTATTAAAAATGTGATGCAAAATTCCTCTCACATATATACGTCATTAGCATGAATATTGTACAAATAGTTAGACATATGTATAACACGATACGTTATTAGTATGAATATTGTTTTATATATTCACATTATCACGTTTATATGAGGACTCGACGTGGAATTTCGATATAAGAGACTAATATAGGAATTTTGGTAAAAACGAGACTAATATAGGAAAAATAGGAAACTAATATAAATGTGAACATAAACAAAAGGTCTTGATTTTATTGCCTGAGAATTTGAATAGTTGATTTGTTTGATGACAAATATTTAAAGCCCAATAAATTAAGTTTAGCATATGGTATTATATAATTATTTTTATGGGCGAATCACTGGAATTGAATCCAGGCAAGTCTATCTAACTTTTGTTTGGGCAACCAAATCCTTGGTTGTTTTGACACTATGCTTTAACAAAATCAATGGAGTTTTAATTTTGTCATTCTTACGTTTTCCCCCTTCTTCAATAAATATTCTTTTTAGTACAACATCGGAGTGGATATTTGAACTTGCGACCTTTTAGTTGGAAATAAGTGTCTTAACCACTTGAGTTATGCTGATGTTGACAGAGAATTTGCACTACGCATTTTGCCAAATTCAGTAGAGAGTTTTAACTTATCACGCAGTGTGTCATAAAAATCAGAGAGACTAATCATTTGTTAGGGATGAATTTTGAAAAAAAAAATTAATAAACCTACTTTTTTGACAAATACTTTGAGAAGAATTACCAAGTTAGAATATATTTAGTATATTTTTCCAAGTAATTTTAGATAATTAGAAGTGCTTTTTTTTGGTACATATACAATATGTGGAGGTAGGTTTTCGAACTCATAATCTCTTGGTTCGAGATATGTGTCAACCTCTTGACTAATTAAAAGTGTATTTAGAAAAACCTACAGACGTTTGGAAATAAGTAAATAAATATATATTTTAAAAAAATTTGATTGCTTTAAAAATATTTTTAAGAAAACATTTTAAAAGATGATTATTCAAAAATCTACTAAGTTCATAACCATGATGTGTAACTCATTGGTTCAAAGATTAAAATAATTATGTAAAAATTATTTTCACAAAATCAATTATCATTAAATTTAAAATCAGTTAAAAATATTACTCATAAAAAGGTGCAAAAATAAATAATAATAAAGAAATTAAATTAAAAGTTATGTGAAACTCTCTGAGGTTAATGCTATAGCTATAGCATCAACATTAGAATTCAAATATTACGTGTATAACTTTAGCCATACTAATGTATGAAAAATAGAGCTAATTGATTATTGGTGAGTAATTTGGATTTGTTCTATCCATATTCTTTATTGTTTATACTAGTATGAAATTAGGTCAAACCTGCCTAATCCTCCATCCATAGAAATTAGGTTTTTTTTTCCCTTTCTGAGTACCATAGAAATTAGGTTAGATACATTCTTGATCAATATTTTATATCCTAAGTTCCAACTTAACGAACACCAAAAATTTTAATGTCGGTGTCAATGAAAATGTCAACGTCTCAATTTTATGAAAATGTTGATGTCGATAAAAATAATATAAATTAACAAATAATCATTTTATCCTCTTTAAATTAGTTTGAAATTTTTGTTATTAATATTCGGTGCATAATATTAACATTTCGTTGATAGTTTTTTACGATGCAATAGAAATGATAAAATTATGGGTGCGTGGATGAAGTGGGAGATTTAAAGCCCTCCTCCAATGTCTATATATTGAAAAAGAAAACAAAAGAAGAAACTCTTTCAAACAATGTCATCTTTCACCACCAAGTCCCTAGACTAGTTTTAAATATTAATAATCCACTTCCTATTTTGCCACAAAAACATTATCCCTTCACCCTTTTTCTTTCTATATTTGGTATTTGTTAGCTTTAATTATATTCTATTATTTCCTTTTAGAAAATATCTCGTTGCAGAGTACAAAAAGAGAAATGATATGTTTAGTTATCAATATAACAACAATTAACAACGTTTAAGATTTTAGAAGGTGATACCAAAGCGTGAATTCTTAATTATATGTTGACAACTTGAACATAGGTGCAATCGTTTGAGAAGGTTTTCTGTGGGAAATCACTTTGACATCCACTGCACAAGAGGATTATAAATTTTTTTAAGTTGAAGTCTTATATTCTTCGTCACTCATAAGAAGATAATGATGTCCTAAGAACTAAATTAAGTTCCTCACCTTCTATCCCTAGTGTCTCTATTTATCCAACTTACTCCTATCTAATTACTATAATACCTCTAACTAATATACTAATAATATTTCCAAACTATCTCTAGGGGGACTCTCACAAATATGTTATCTTTTTTGCTTTGACGGTTACCTTCTACACCTTGTGGCTTATTAAACCTTCCAACTTTTTTAAAGAGAAACTTTTGGTCCAATGTTGAAACATCTAAATGGAACATTTTGTTATGATGTTAACCAAATTTACAAACATGATTATATTACATTTAATTTGCTACTCCATATCCCAAAGGGAAGCTAGGGAATCCCATAAATGATCTGTTTGATCATCTCTCACTGCACAGTTCATATTGGGATGACAGAAACAGAACTCTAAACTATTGTATTGATCTTCATAATGATTCACTTCCAGCTTCTCGTTCGACAAATGATCCAAAATCCAGTTCGATAGTCGAATTTCATATGGCGAACTCGTGATCTCGAAGTTCGGAAACCCAAAAAGGTTGTGAGAAACGTTGCTCAAGGGAATGTCCTTTCTCTCATTATGGTCTTGCCTTGGACTTCCCCCCATAGCACATTGCTTGAATGAGAGTTTGTCCTGTTTCCCATGTTTTACTTTGCTCTCTGCACAAGAAATTGAAGAAACTTCAACAAATCAATCAATCCAAAGCCGATTATGTGATTGAGATATCAAACCTTCTTGTTGTATGGGGAGCTTTTTCCTCATGTGGTTTCTCCAGTAGTTCTTGATCTCGTTATCGGTTCTTCCCGGAAGCCACCGCGCAATTCTCGACCATCTAGGAGAATATGTATTGGATGATTATGATGCTGACAGAGCAATAAAGTTACAAAATTTGCAGCACCCGGATGTTAATAACGAGAGATTTAATCCTTACTTGTTTCCCCATTTTTTATGAAGTTTCAGAATGACTTCTTCTTCCTCAGAACTCATACAACCGTGCTTAAGATTGGGGCGGAGATAGTTGAGCCATCTGAATCTGCAGCTCTTCCCAGTTCTCTCAAGTCCTGAAAAAAAGAGAACAATTTTTTCTAAGTACATTGTTCTATATTTATGAACTAAAAGACATGAGTGATAGTAAATCTACTGTTTTTAGTGTTGGGTATATGAACATAGGCCTGTGAAAAAGGGGAGATTCTCAACATCTCCCGATACAAATTTTGTTCAGAGTGGACAATATCATACTACTAAGTTTGAAAATGGAAACTTGCGATTCGTTTGGGGTTAGAAGTCATACCAGAAGCTTTGGCGATCGAGTCCCATTTACTCTCCCCCATGCGAGTTACAAACGTGGTGAGCTGCTTGTCTTCCTCTTCAAGCCAAGGTCCTCTGCGCAGTGTCTCACTTTGAAGAGCTGATTGATTGGCCATTTCTGATCCTTACTCTGATCAGTTCCAAAGTTAGAATTTATACAGGAAACAAGTGTGAAAAAAGTGCAGGAAAAACATTTGTTTTTGGAAGGAAAAGAGAAGAAAATGGGAGGGTGACCGGAAAATCCAACGTGGATCAATAGATAGAGACTCCAATTCAAAGACCTACCCCACCACCCACCACTGGATTACATGAATCTCTTCTCCTCAAACCATACCAAATTTGGCCATTCAAGTAAGAATGCAGTTTCATCATCACTTTTTGCATTATCCTCAGATTGTTTAGGATATCCACAACTTAAAAGTCTTATGTTCATTATTGATGTGTTTAGTAGAAGGATATTGCTGTATTATGTAAGCAGAAGATGCATTTCTACAGATAGGAGAGGATAGCGGAGAAGGTGCTCGATAGTCCTTTTTCATACAGCAACTCGAATCCTTATCTTCGGCCGAGTTATAATAATTTGGGGACAAGCAAATTAAAACCACATTAGAAAGAATCTACAGTAATCATGTGTTTTCAAAATGGTTATGAATACTTGTAATTTCAACCTACAAATCCAAAATCTCAGTGGTCTTGATGCCATTAACTACAAAGATATAGTTTGTGATCATCCATAATCATTAATCTGATGATCATTAACTATCACATTAATGGCTTAGTTCTGTTATAATGTGCTTTGCTTTTTCACCACTGACCTGTGAAGGTCTATAGTCAAACATACTGATTTTAACTGTGCATTAGATGGAGTAAAAATCATGGTGTACAGAGGCAGATGAACTATAAAAGCTGACGGTTATTCTACATAATAGCCTTTTTCAATCAAAACCCCATGGAAAAACCTTACAGGTAACTTCACTGACTGTTTAAGAGCCGAAAAGAAAAGCTACAGAAACAGGAGTAACAAAACTGCTTTCTGAAGCCAGGACTGTTTTTACATGAGAGTATTCAGTAAGAAGAGGTAAGAAGAGGAAGGAAATTATGTAGAGGCAGTTCAACTGGATTAAGTTGCCACTCACTGAGCCAGCGAAAATTGCAGCTTCATGCAACTCCTCATCAATTAGAACTACTACGTCTAGCGATCTATGAACGACTTGTTCATGAGGTTAACCGCATCATCCATAAACTTCAGAGGAAAACAAGAAAAATAATTAGCATGACGACAATAATCAAAGATTTTAACGTCTTCAAGGCTATTTTGTTTCAATTTGCTGTCAATATTTTTCCACTCCAAGAGCATGTTTTGCATATAAAAAGGCCAATAAGAAATAGAGAATTACGCCCCACTTCACCCAAGACCTGATGAGTATCTGAAGTATCAACAAAGTCTTGTCCTGATTTCAAGTTTCTACAATCGATTGATATACGTTTTCAACACGATAACCCATAAAACAGAATCAAAAGAACTATATCACAGATTCCAATACAGACCAATTACTTTCTTTGTTTTTGGGGTACATTCCTTGGATTATACTCACGGAGGTTTTCCCCACCTAAGGCCAGGTCCAAGTTTGGGTTGGGGGAGACAATAAGGTTTTTCAAAAGTAAAATCAATCTAAATAAGTCCAAGCACTAAGAAAGTTAGAAACATATACGAGGGAAAAAAACTACACAGGATTATGGTGATATGTCCATTTACCTTTCCAAGTAATTTAAGCTCCCGGCCAACAGGCTCAAAAAACTTCAGATCGAGATCAATGGGCCATACCTGTCCATAAGCAGCATAGTAAGACCAAATACAGCAAAGGCAGTTCTTATAAACCCAGAATCTAGATTCAGTTTAGCAATGATAAGGCAGTACTACTGGACCACTGGTATCCATCCTATAATTAAAGCTGGAGCATCTAGAGCAATTTTCTGATAGCAAAAACACCAATAGTAACCTTCTTTATTGATAATATATAAAGGTATTACGTCTTCAAACATTTGAAAGGTCTGAAAGTGATCCTCCCAGAATTCCCAAAATAACTTCAAGATCCTTCCCTCTCTCATAACTAACCGGACTATCACCACTAATTACAGAAAACACCATAAAAACTCCTCAATTACAACAGTTACCCATCCCTGGACACTGCCTTCCCTTTACTGTTCTTGCGCCCACTGGAAGTCTTGTGTATTGGAGGTCTATAATTTCTTTTTTCTGTTTTATTTCTCTTCTCTCTCTCTTTCTTCCCTTGAATAAAAAGCATCTAAACATAAAATTAACAACTATTAACGATACCATTTATCTCAGTAACAGCTGGGATTACTTCATCAGTCATCAATAACTGAGATTCATTGGTATTTTCTTGACTCAGACTTGTAGTTTGCTTTTTCACTCAGAGAATTAAGCATCATTTCTTTTATTTATAACTATACTTTATTCACCACACTAAAAAATATGGCCTTGTCAACCCCTCTGCCCTCCTCACAATCCCACCTTCTAACATTGAACAGTAATATAACCATTGACAAAACTCAACATTGCTACAAAGCGGTAAAATAATCACATCGGGACAGAAAAAAGACATGTGAGAGTCATTTTCATTGCTAAGATTCTGATATCTTGATAATACTTTGATACATGTAAAGAATAATATGCTTAGCACTTGATAGCAGTAGCCAGTAGATGCAGAGCAAGATAAATATTGAAAGCACTTACAGAGTTTGTTAAGAAAGTAGGTTTGTCTACTTCCAACTATTACATGGCTGAATTGGTTTGTTAAGAAAACAACTTATAGAAAAAGCGTTTCCCATTAGAATCATTACTCTCAAAGGTCATACACTCTATCAGTTTGTTAAGAAAGTAGGGTTTGTCTATTTCCAACTATTACATGGCTGAATTGGTAATGTCAATGTAATAAGTTGTTTGCATTAGAGAGACTGATATTATACTTCCCACTCTTTAAATACGTTTTACATTGCTCAGAATATACTCCATAAATGTCATATTTGAATACATTTTCAAGCAAAATCATCTGCCACAAATTGTTGAACAATACACAATTTATTTACAGGTAATGTTAAACCATAGAAACAATGTAGAAGCAATTCGCAAGACCAGTAAACGTAAATTGAAGCAAGTAAAACTAAGAAACCGGAATTGAAAATTGAAGTAACCCGAAAGATGGCAAAGCCGCGAAGAAAGGAAAAGATGAACCTTAAGACCAAGTAGTTTGACAGGTGCAGATTGTCCTGGCACGATACAATCAGGCCCAGCCGCTTCTAAGATGGCATCCGTAGCCAATCCGCTTCCAATCGGATCAGGATGCTGCAAAATTCCAACAAAAAAAGATTTTCCCCAAAGTCATTAAAAGAATCAAACAAAACCCAGAGAGCAAAAAGAAAGAACTAAGAGAACGAGAGCTTGCCTTCATGACGGAGAGGGCGTAATTGGAAAAGGGGGATTGGGAAATTCGGAGCACAGGGGCATGGTGGATTTTGGGAATGGGTCTGCCGGATGCCCTCCATGGCGCGTCCTTCGAAAGCGCAGCTCCTCCTCCGACGCTTTTTCTGGACATAATTACCTCGCCGGAGTTGTTGGGTTCCTTCTTCTGCTCAAAATCTCCTTTCTGAACAGAATCCAGATGTGGGAAATCGAAAAGGGACGCGGATAATCGTGAAGAAACGAATGGAGAGTAGAGAAGATGAGGAAGCAGCCAAATTATGGCTAAGTTTTCACTTTCAGCCGTGTTTTTAAGCCTTTAAACCCATATCCACAGAACAAGAGGGTTGTCGTCGCCAAAAATCATCAGAAAACCCCCTCGCCGGAGAAGATTGGGAAAACCAAGGGATAGAAATTAAATAGCATGGAAATAAAGGTGCAATTTGCAAATTTGCCTCTTTTGTTGATTTTGTTATTGTTATTGTTTCTAGGTTAAACTATAAATTTGGATTATGTGGATGAGAAATAGTTTTAATTTTCTCTCTATAACTTTAAAATTTTTCACTTGATTTGGATTTAATTTCAATTCGATTTCTATAGTTTGGATTTAGTTTCACTTTAGGTACTGTTAAGGCGTAATTCACCAGGAATCAAAATGGGAAGAAATGAGAATGAAAATTTATTTACTACCAATTTTCTGGAATGATGAGTGAGAAAGGACGAAGTTGTAAAATAAATTATAAAAAACGGGGTTTACGCGAATAATTTATGAAGTTCCGTCGGAACCAGAGATTACACTTATGTTTTTAGGAAGTGATTAACAAAGTATAACATGTGGGTGGGGGATCGAAGTCACAATCTCTTAATTGGAGATATATGTCAATTACGGCTGAGTTATGCTTGACCAAATGTTACAAATATTCATGGCATATATTAAACTAAAAAAATTATGTTACGATTGAGTAAAAAATAAAGGAAAATAAATGATTTTTGAAAAAAACAATAAAATTTTGTACCAACAATTTGTGGGATTTAACTCAACTAAACTCTAACTATATGATCCATTCAAAACTTTTCAAACCATGAGACGAAATTAAAATAAAGTACTAAATTGAAACTTCTGATTACAAAGAAAAAGAAAGGAAAAAAATTGAAATTAGACTTTGTTTGAGAAAATTACAAATGTGTGGAGTACGATTCCATCAAAGTTAAAAAATACAACTTATGTTCGAAGTTTCTTTATTTTTCCTGGTACTGTAATTCAAATAGACGATGGAAATTTAAAACCACGATTTTCAAAACTAGTATTTTCATCATTAAATTAAAAATTAGTCACCTCTCTCAATTACCAAATGAATATAATCATGATACACTTATCTCTGATAAAAAGACTGTGAATTTGAATTCTCACATCGACATATTGTACTAAAAAAGATGATGTACTAAAACAGATGAATATAATCATTGAGGAGACATTTCGTCCCACATTTTCTAAAAGTTCATAATATTTGATTGTGTGTACTTAGCTACGTGTGTATCTAGCCTCAGAGTTTCATATATCTAAAAATGAGAGTTTAAAAGGAGTTAGTAAGAGCCCAAAAAAAACATAATTACATTTTGTAATTAAAAATTTATATACAATTTTAGGAAAATTAAAAAAAATGAGAAATAAAAAATATAAATAATTCTGGAAGGCTAAATTTTAGGTCTAAGTTTCTTTTTAAGTATCTAATTACTTTATGTGAATAGTTAAAGGTGTCATTTGATTCCACTTATAGAAACCCTCTCTAATACTTTCTAATTTAACTCATTTTAGTCTATATATTTTCAAAACATTTATTTTGATCTATATGCTTTCAATTTTTATTTATTTTAGTTCTTATGTTTTGAAATGTTCATTTCGGTATCTGTAGTTTTTATAAGTGACCATTTTTATCTCATTTATTTTGATCAAAATTTTAGTACGACACTTCACCTACTAAATTTTTTGAAATGTAGTCATAAATTATTAAAGAATTTCTATGGTACATAATTTTTGTATTAAAAGCTTACAAATATAAACCAAAATAATCACTTTTTAAAAGTATGGTGACCAAAACAAACATTTTGCATGGACTAAAATGAATAAAAGTTAAAAGTACATCAACAAAAATGAATCAAAACCAAAAGTACATCGACCAAAATAGTATTTAAACCGACGTCTCAGATGAATAATAGTATTATCATTATTATTATTTTGATTAATTGTCCTAAGTGTAGAATAGGGATTCAGTGGGGGATCAAAAGTGACATGAAAAGGTGACAAGAGAGACTTCTCCTGCCTCACCTTCTCCATTATTGGCACTACTTATGGTTCACTTTCTTGTGGTAGAGAGAAAATATTAAATTCTAAAGCAAACTTTTTTATTTCCCTAAATTTATGTCATTGTTTCTCATATTTCTTCTTACCTATTACACACAAAATGCCCAAAAAGTTACCTAAAAGAACACAAAGTGTCCATTTCCAATGTGCATGCTTTAAACTTAGAAATGATGCCTTGCAATTTTCAACCAACCATATCCACATATTTTGACTTCCCACCTAAAATGCTTTTTCCACCACATCAATTGAAAACACACATGCTTAATTTTATGATTGCCTTTATACCTCTATTTCGTCTTTAAAATAATTTTACGTTGTTTTTTTTTTATAACATTGTTATTTAAATAATGGTGTAATGCGTTGATATAAGAGAATAGATCAATCGGATAAAATAATAATAAAGTGGTAAAAAATATTTGAGTGGAGAGATTACAATATAAATCTTATTTTTTGTCAGGTCTACATTTATTTTAGAATAATACTTAGTTAGAAACTATTTATTTGTTAAAAAAAATTGTGTAAAATGCTCTCATCTATCCTCCATTTTTTGCATTCTTCTATCTTACCATACAGTGATGATCTTCATAGTGAACAATCATTACCTAAATATTATTCTTTACTTTATCCACTTAACACATTTTCTTGTATCATCTATTACCCCTCATGCCAAATTATCACGAGCTAGTCTAATAAAAAAAACATGAAATTGGATCAAAATTAAAAACTTAAAGATATAATAAATATTTTTCGAGATTCATACATTAAATAGAAGTATATCAATCAAATGTCTAGATATGGATGTCAATTTTAGTATGGCTCGTAAGTATTTACTTTCAACT